AAAGAATTGCACTATGTGGGGAGGAGTCCTTAAAAAACTGAGACGCAAGACCACACCGGGGATAGTCACAGTTGGAAACCTGGCAATCCATACAAGATTTGGTGGGTCTTCAGAAACCTGGGCTGGGCGAAGCCAGGGAGTTGAGGAGGAGAGGAAGCTGGTGCTCAGGAGAGGCGGCTTTAAGGAACAAGAGGGAAGCAGCAAGTTTTCCTTGTCTGTATGAGCCAGACAGTAACAGGAGAGGCTGGAGGCCAATGCAAGGCATTCCTGAAGGAACCTAATGGGCTGTTGTGGAATCTGGGACAAACAGGATGGTGCAGGTGGCATAAATGTGGCCAGAACCTGATTTTAAAGCCTAAATCTCACACTGCCCAAAGTCTGACCCCATTAATTCAAGGCGGTCTTTGGGCATAGCTGGTGAGGGCTGAAGGCACCTGAATTTCCCCAGATGGAGATTGAAGATTAGAGATTATGTGGCAGAGAACTCGGGACGGGAGTAGTAAAGGCAGCCTGAACTGGCTGAGAGAGACAGTGACTCAGGGGGCAAACACCTGGGCTGTCTCCCAGAGCACAGTACGCCTGGGATGAAGCTCGTAGGCCAAGAGAATGGCCTGTGGATAGACTGCAGACAGCAAGGAAGAGCCCTTGGAGTGCACTGGGCAGGCAGTGGGGACCGGGATGGGGACACTGCAGAGCCACTGGCCCAGGCCCGATTCCTTCCTGACACCACTCCAAGATTCCTAAAGCTTCCCATGTCTCAGGCCTCATGCCTGGAATGTCTCCCCTGCCATACTGAGCTGTCCTTGGAAGGCCTAAGTGTCACCTCCTCCAGGACGCCCTCCCTTAGTCAGAATCAGGGCTTCATCCACTGTCTGCAGCCTGCCTCCCCACCAGCATACATCTTGAGGTTTGGGATGAATTCTGTCTATCTCAGGATTTCCTGCTCTCTTCTCCTCTGGGGACTCCCAAGACCACTGCGCTCTGGTTGTTGTCAAGACATTTGTGTGTAAAAGGGTATTTCCAAGGAGTGACTCCAGAGGAAGAAATGTGGGCTGGAGGGGGATGGGATGAAGGTAAGGAGAATAGAAATGCCCCTGGGTACTTAGCAGGGGCCCCAGGAACTTGGGCGTAGTCAGATGGGGTTTGGCGGCAGATTGGCGCCTGGCACGTCCAGTCAGAAGATAAGGCTGCCCGAGGCCCGCCTGAGGACCAAGCCTGGGGATGAGGCCTGGCTTGTGGCCAAGAAGCAGCGGAAAGCGATCTGGGATGGAGCGGCTGTCCGCCTCGCCACCAGCTCAGCAGAGCCTTCTTTTTGTCTGTCAGCGGCCGGCGGTGGGGTGCAGCTGCCGGGCGTCTCCCGAGGTGGCTGATGCAGGCCGGCTGCAGGCACCATGCTGCTCTCCCTCCATCCATGGGCTCATTACTCTCCTGCCTGGCTTGCCCCACGCAGACCTTGTCCCTCGGGGTCACCCGGGTCTTGATCTGCGCCAGGGCGGTCGAATCAAGCCAAGATTCTCTTGTGCGCGGCATTCAAAGCGAAGCCGCCCCAGTGCGCGGCCCTCCCTTTCCTGGGCGCCCAGCACCGAGGCTTCAGGGTGGAGGCATTAGTCCTCACCTGCAGGGCCAGGCCTGCCTGGCCCCTGCCCCTCCTCACCTAGCCGTTTCCGCGGTCCACACTTACCTGGGGAAGGGGGCACCGAGATTTGCTCCTGTCTTTGGCGCAGAGGGGGACCGGTCCCTCTCAGCCTGGCCAGTCTCTCCCAGGACTCGGGTGTGGGAAGGGGTGAGGAGCTGGGGAAAAGGGGCTTTCCTGGAACAGTGAGTCTCAAGGTGTACGCCCCTGTGAGCGGGTGGGGAGCGTCTGAGCATCCCCGCTCCCCTACCCAAGCCCACACACCCGCGGGTTTCCCCGCGGCGGTTGCGCAGAGCTTTTTGTGAGCCGGCGTAAAGGGCCGAAAAGAACTCACAAACCTTAGGCCCTAGAAGTAAGAAAAAAATTTGTGTCTGAATCAGCTCTGTCTGCATTAACGACTTCTGAAAGAGAAACCATCCCAGAAGTGTGCGAGATGGACGGACGCCCCGCCCCACTTTCCTCTGCCTGGAGTTTCCTCCCTAAATTGCCGCTTCTCTCTTATTCTGGTTAATGATTTTCCCCAAGGGGAGGGGAGGACAGGACATGCACATCTCTTGAGACTGTCCTTCTCAGCTATTCACTGCCCCAAGGAGGTAATTCTGATGATCCCCAAACACACCCCCCACGCACACGCAAAATTGGGAGAAATGGATGGATGGGAAATCCGGGAGACTGAAGGCCATTTATTGAGCAGATAGGGATGCCAAGAAGGGGGAGGGGGTACATCTAGGGCAGGCCTGAGTAAAGGAACCTGCAAGATGAGAGGCTGAGGTGGGTATGGCGGATAAGAAGTACGGTGTCAGGGAATGAGAAATAAGATGGGGGTGATGAGGAAAGGGAATTCTAGAGGACAAGGCAGAGAGGGTTGGACCACAGGGGTGGGAGGAATGGCGGGAAGAGATGCACTGGAGGGCGGCAGCACTCCCAAAGTGTGGGGGGGTAGCCTATGAGACAGCTGAGCGCCCCGCCACCCCTGCCCCAGGCAGCCCAGAACCCAGGTTTAATCTCTTAATCTCCCTCATTAATCATTCACCCTCCTCCCACCCCACTCGGAGGATCTGGTTTCTCCCCAGCTCAGGTTCCAGGGGCTTTGCTGGGAAAAGTCCCCTCCTGTGGCCCCACAATTGTCTGGACAAGTCCCTGGCCGCTGGGATGACCTTAGCTGGGCTCTACTGCCAGCAGCTCCTCCCTTGAGTAGTCCTCCATCTCTCTCCGCCCCCAAACCTACATCTGGAGATCGCCAAACCCCACTGTCCAACCCCATTCCTAAGCCTGGTTGCTCCGGGGAGAAGGTTGGAGAGACGGAAGGGGAGGAAAGCAAAGGCCCTACAGGAGAGCCCGAGCTGATACACAACAGTAATTGAGAGCAGAAGAGATGACATAAAGGCCACATAGAGGGTGCACGAGTGAGGGTCGTAGTGTCTGGTGACAGGCCTGGGATATAAGCTAGGCAGTTCCTGCAGCCTCCTGGGACTCCCTTTAATTGCAGATTAAATGAAACCACCAGGATGGGTCAGAGGGCTGCATCCTCTAACTAGGAGGCCTTCTCCTGGCCCTCCTCCACCCTCCACCATTAATAACCAATAAACAAGATCCTGAGGCATCTCAGCTTTTCACGCTCTGGTCTCTGACCCAACAGTGGCCCACTGGGCTGTGTTGCTCAGGCTGCCATGAGGGTATTATATGATTGTCTGGATGTGTCTTAGGGGATGGAGGGGTGTCATGGGAGGGAGCTTTTTACCAAGAAGACCCTGTGTTTCTTCACCTTTGTTGGGTGTGAGCTAGGTCAGTGCCTCAGGTCACACGAGGTTCCCTGACCCCCATTACCAAAGTCCCTTCCTGTCCTTATCAAAGGGTCTCTGACCCAGGTGCCTTGGATTTCCCAAGCTCAGGTTTAGGCACCCCAACTGCAGGCTCCACTTGCCCCAGGGAATAGACAGGGGGACCCAGAGGATCACTGCACAAATGGTGGGAGGTACAGAAGTCTACAGAGAAGGTGACATGATGGACAGTCCAGGAGAGACCGGCCCACATTTTCATGGCACTGTTCAAAAACTTCTGTGGAAACCCATAGCAGTTTCTTAGGGGTGGTGAGTTGCTTAGAGGTGGTGGGGCTTCTCTGCCTCTGGGCCGTGAACTCCCTAGCTCATTGGGAGGCAATTTGTGAACAAAACCCTTTTTCCATGAGGCCTCCACTGGTGAGCAGTGCTGACCCAGAGCTGCTTTATTCCTACTAAGAAGGGCTGTGGTGCGAGCCCAGGACAATAGGTGTGGGAGTGAAGAGGGAAAGACAGGACACAGATAAAAGAGCAATGACTACCCCATGTCTTAGAATTTGTCCCTGGATAGGCAGGGGTTTCTGTCCCAGGATTTGGATGGGCAGATAAATTCTGCCCTTCAAGTCACTCTTCTATAGGGAGTGACCATAATTTTCCTCAGCAGTGACCAGTGGCCCTTCCTACTGCTGCTGATGCTAGGTGGTTTCTGGGCCTCCCAGGCTGAGGGACCCCTACTCCAATTACAGGAGCTTAATAAAGAAACAAAGACAGATGGACTGGTAGACCTAAAGAGTAAGCAGGAGGCCCTCGGTGAAGCCAGCCTTCATTGGCGAGGACCCCTCCTGGGCAGTAACCCTAGCTCGGGTTTGCTGTGTCCTCTCTCCTGAGGCCCAAGTCTCTGGCCCCTTCTCCGTGTGCTCTGGCTTCCTCAGGACCTCTGAGACGCGGCAGGACAGCCGTGAGTCCAGCCAGAGAGCCGGCAGAGTCCACTCACCTGCGCGCTTGATTCCCCACCGCATCCCCACTATTCCCCGATTGCAGTCGCTCTGCCAGTCCAGGTCCTCCCAAGTCTTGAGTCCCCCAGCCCCCAGCGCCGCGCTAATAATTTCCAGCCGCGCTGGACCTCTTAAAGAGCGTTCCACAGGGGTGGGGCGGGACGAGGGGGCCAGGTCAGGAGACAGAGGTCCTTACTAGGTGGGACTGGGGGGCTCCCAGCACTGTCAGCTCTACTCTCTCTCCTCGGAATTTTGCAAATCCCCAGCCGCTGGGGCCAGGGAAAGCGATTTTATTGCCTACGAGTTTATGAGCCAGAGCTGCGGCTAGGCGGGGAGTCTGTGGTACACAGAATCTGGGGGCCGCCCAGGAAGGGTCCAGCCCGAGTGTGCACGGGGCCGTGTCTGGCCTACGGCCGGGTCTGGCGGGATTGTTCCGCCGGTTGCTCTCCATACCTTCCCACCCTGTAGAAATACAGCTGCCTGGACTTCTACCAGCTCCAGACCCACCGCCGGCCCCGGGTTGGGGGGTGGGGGCGCAGGAGGAGGGGCATACGAGGCT